TTAGAAATAGGTGCTTGTTAGCGATCACCCTTCCCAGGGGTTATTATCATCCATAAATTCCTTAGTATTATAATACCCCTTTTTATACAAACTTAGTTTAATAAAGTTTTTGAGCTTTGTGTATGTCAAATTTTGTATATTTTGAGATTTTGTTGTTGTTGTGCATTTGTCTGTTCCTAGTATTTACAGAATGAATATCACTTATTTTTGCAAAACTGCTTTTATTTTTGTGTACGCATTAATCTATAATAATGTTATAGATTTTCCCATGTTCTAAAAGAGATATCAAAAGTCGACCAAAACATTTTTGATTTGCAATTTTACACAACAAAATTTTGAAGCAAAATCGTTTTGTGACATTTTTTTAATTCTACATCATTTTACAGAGTGTTTAGGTATAGAATAAGATGATAAGATTTTTTAAGTAAAATTAATAGATCTTCAATCTTAATTTCAATTATCTTTCCATATCTAACATGGTTTTCGAGATAATAGCAAAAAACTGAGTTTAAAATGTTTTTTTGATAATTGAAGTACCTACTGGCCCTGTTTGGGCCACTATTATGGATCTGCAGGTTTTTTAACGTTCTAAGCAGGAGAAGTCAAATTGTACAAATTTTATCACGTCTAGTTTTATAACTTTTTTATAACCTACTCGCGTAAATTGACGTTTTTGTAATTCGAGACAAGGAATCAAGTACACATTTTAAAATAGTTTAAGAATACAAAGGTGGTTATTTCGCCAAGATTTGGAGGTCAAACTACTATTTTAATTCCTGTATGCGATTTTTAGGCTTTAAAAATCGAGGCATGCATTTTCAAATAAAACATTTTTATAGCTGCAAAACGTTCATGCTTTTTTCATATGAAACCATTGTAACTGTGAGTCGTTTGTTAATAGATCGAGCGATCCGCGCCGAGCCTAGTTTGGCACAAACCCACTGGCGCGGCCGAAAAACAATTTTAAACAATTCCGCTTCTAGTTCGTCGGTGCGGCAAATAAAAACGCTCACCATTCGCATGCTGACGGTTTCACGCGCTATTAGACACGCCGTGGTCTGCTAGGGGTGACCTGCGGGCGTGCTACATGGAATAAAAGTGGATTAAGTTTTATAAAAAAATTATAATTTCTTGTTCGTTGTTTTGATAAAGGAATATTGTGAAAATATGTTCAATCATAACATTATTTCATATTTCTTTAATAGAATAATGGTGACAAGCAAGTACACATCCCACCTAATGGTTGGTTGCTGTGGCTCATAGATATCATTTGTACTCGATTAAGAATCAAAATGTAGATACGTGGTCACCCCTGAGGAGTAAAATCGAATGTCTCTTATCCAGTAAAAAAGGGTCTCCGGATCTCTACACTCACCATGGCTCTACCAAGTATAAATACTTAATAAGCGTAAACATACCTAATAAGCTAATCACTGCTATTGAGCTGACGATAGCGCTGGATTTATGTATAGTATTATTTGTTTTGACTTGACTATAATATATTTCAAATCCTTAATATTCAATTGGGTTAAAGAACTACTTTTATTGTAATTTATGAAAACATATCTAGTATATTATAATAATAGCGTGTTGCTCAGCGAATCTGGCAACCCTGAGATTATCGGGCGCGCTTCATTTGTTGTCGACAAACGTTCGGCAAATGAGTCACATTATGCAGATTCCGTACCTGGATGTATCCGCACGGCAAACGCGCCGCATTCCGGCCCGTTAATTGCTGTTCACGCGTAAATACGTGAATAATTCGAGTGAATCTTTCGTTATGTCAATTATATACGGACTAATTTCGCATGCGATTATATTCGTATTACCTATGTCGCGTTAGAAAACGATATTTGTAAATATTGATTAAGAATTACAATCGATGTATCGTAATTAATTTTGCTTTATGGTTATTTAAAACTAGTTTATTCTTTTCAAAATAACGATTTAAATAAAATAGTAACTTCTTAAATGATAAATTAGATTTAGTACCTAATAAATGCCAAATGCATTTACTTTGGAACTTACGAGATGTGCAAAAACGATGCTTATAAATTCTGCAGGACAGTAAATGAAAATTGAATAGTTGGTGGGTATTTTGGACTGAATGAAATAAATAAATAAATAACACTTTTTAATTGTCTTTGCAAAGACGGTGAGTGACCGCTAGTGATTAATAGATTCGATAGTCTATTTCTATTCTGAATATCGCTTTTCAATTTATTTACTCTGTGAATAACTGATGAGTGTTTAAAATGAAAATTATGTATACGAAATGGCCAGTCTGTTGTTGTTTCTATTTGTCTACTCTCTGCTAATTTTAGTTAAACGATATACTTGTCTTATGAAGTTTAAAACTTTATAAGGTATAAAATATTATAAAGGGGGATTAAATAGACTAAGCTGGAATTATTAGACGGGAGGTTATTTTAAAGTATTTTAGAAACGATGATGTTGTTATTGATGTTCAAATAAGGGATTGTTTGGTCAATATTCTTATTTCTGAGAGGGGTTTTAGCGCAAGGAAATGTCCGCGGCGCTGCCCCAATGCGTATTAGCGAACTTCATATTACATATGTCATTCAATTCTTTTATTTCTCGGTCATGCAGGTTACTTCACGATATTTTTAGTAAATCAGCTCTTAAAAGTGTAATTAACAATTCCATTGGTGCCAGTGGGATCGGACCCGGGTTGCTCGCGTACTGAGAAATTTAAAGCGAGCGCTTAACTCCTGAGTTACCACGACTCCCTCCCTTCTCAAAAGCCTCTCAGAAATGAGAGGAGGCCTGTGCTCAGCAGTGGAACGTATATGGGCTGTAACTTTAACTTTTGTCTGATCTTTTTATAAATTTGAGGTTTTCATTGCTTTTAGTTTTAACTTATTTCGAAAACATGGCGTTTTGAGTGTTTTGCTGCTTCATAATGTTATGTCGTATGTTATTAGAATTTTTGTGTCCTTTAATTTGTTGTATTCATTAAATATAAGAATTCATTCAATGTTATCATCATAATATTTAAACTACATTATTACAAAAACATTGTAATCGTTTCAATTTGATTTAATAGTAAAATATATAAAAATTACCGTCACATTACGATATTCTTTAAAAAAACGTCACTCCCAGTCGTATTTTCTATTTACTTGTATAATGGAGACGGTTGACATAATATATAAATTGCACAAGGACATATTATATCTAGACTTGGAAAAATTATTTGTAGATCGGATGCGAGAAAAAAATGCCTGTTAAAATCAATGAATACAAAATGTATAAGGCTAAAATTATACATTCATTCAACATTGAATATCCAACAATAATTTTACAAATATTAAATAAATCTAACGAAGTATTTGTGGAACTAAGTATTGGTATGTGGTGCAAATGATTTTTTCGGGTCTATTTGTGTAAGATACAGGAAAAACCATCACGATACAGGACAAAAATCATAGATATTTTTAAAAGTTATGGATATTGCTGGATGTATCATAATAGTCACGCTTAGCAGACGGTTTGATAATCGGAGCACCAGACAACTGGGCGTATGAGGAAGTTCAAGATCGCTGAGCAAGTTATGATGAGGGCTATGCTCGGAGTTTCTCTGCTCGATAAACTCAGAAATGAGAATACCCGCAGTAGAACCAGAGTGACCGACATAGCCCGACGGATTATTAAGCAGAAGTGACAATGGGTCCGCCATATAGCTCGAAGAACCGATAACCGATGGGGAAAAAGGTTCTCGAGTGGCAGCCTAGTACCGGTAGGCGTAGTGTTAGGGCGACCCCAAACTAGATGGAGTGACGACCTGGCAAGACGTCGAAGGATGCAGGTGGCTCAGGACCGTGCTTTGTGGCTTACTTGGAGTAGGCCTATGTTCAGCAGTGGACTTGTTTAGGGCTGTAATGATGATGATGATATATGGTTTATTACGTATATGTAATGGTATATATAAAATGGTTGCAGCAAGAATGAGTCGGCTCGACCGGAGAAGGACCTCACAGAATACTAGCGTTAAATAGTAGCTCAATGCTGTGTTTCGTATGGTGAGTGTAGAACCGGAGATCCCTTTTACTGGAAACGAGACATTTCATCTTAGTCCTCTGGGTTAGCAACGCATCTGCATTTTCTTTCTTAATCGAAGAAAGATGCATATGTTTATAGGTCACAATATCCACTAACCATCAGATGTACTGTATGCTCGCTTGCCACCCTTATTCTATAAAGAGAACGAGATAGTTATAAAACAATCTATCGAAAGTTCTGTCGTTTCCCATAGCTGCCTCCACAGGACGAAATGGAATAGTGTATTTTCTCACAAAACTACCACACTAACGGTCTTGTTCGAAAAAGTAGTTTGAAATTAGACTGTACAAACTATAGTCTGTTTCAAAAAAGAAGTCTCGTAAAAAATTGTGAACTAAAATCTAAACGTAGACAGAGAAACCTATAGACTAATGATTAGCGTGACCTCGAGTGAGAAAGGACGATAACGTAGTTTTTAGTTAGGTTATACAATAATCTTTATGACTTTTAAACATATTTAGATAACAATTTTAATTGTTCTAAGAACTGAACTGAACAAGATTCATCAATCTTAAGCTCACAAAACACTTTTTTCTCACTTAAACCAACTTGTAAACTCCTTAGATCGCTACGAACTGTAAAAGTTGTTTAGCAAAGATAAGTTTGCTAAACAAAAAAACCGGCATGGAGAAAGGGATAAACAATCACACCGCTCTGTCTCATTTCTATGCAAGACGTATGCATAAATCTATCTTTTTCGTGTGCGAATGCGAAAGAAGGCGTCAATTTGTCTATAGGTCTACGAATCTAAATTTGTGGAATTTGACAGCAAATGTCAAATATCGCGAAGACTCTGACGTCGAGGCCAAGGAACGTCTTTCGTGACAAAAACTCTTTTTTAAGCCTGAGACTATTAATAAAACGCGCTTTGTAATGAAATCGAATAAGTTTAAAAGTTTGTTTTCAAGTTTGCTTACCATAAATGAGTTTGACGTGATAAAGTCTGCAATCCGCCGGACACAACGCAGCGGTGACATCTGTTAACAATATAAACAAAAGTGTTAAAGGTTTGCTCTTTACGTGAATTATTTCTTCTGAGCTTCCATGATATCATGGAGTCGGGAAAAAGTATCCACGGATAGAGATATTGATGTCTGAAATTTGAATTGGTATTTTTTATAGCATAGGGTGACAAGCGACCACACAGTCCACCTGATGGTAAGGGGATGCTGTGGTCCGTAGATATCCACATTTATCCTCAATTAAGGATCAAAATGCAAATGCGTTGTCACCCCTGAGGACCAAGATGGAATGCTTCGCTTCCAGCAAAAAGGGTCTCCGGTTCCATACACTCACAATACGAAACACAGCAGCATTGCGCTGCTAACTTACGCTGGTATTCAGTGTGAGCGTGGTCCTGCCGCGGTCGAGCTGACTCATTCGTGCTACAACTATACTATAGCTAAAGCGTGGCTCTACCAAGTAAAATGGTATTCAATGTATATAATGGCAAATTTGTTTGATGTTTTATTTTTTCATTTTTGCTTCAAGGGTATAAATTTAAAGAAAAAATGCAGTATAAAGTTTATAATGAAACTTTATAGACGACATAGTAAAAGCCGATTTTAAAGAAATAAAAAGAAAAAAATAATTTTACATTCTGGAGTCGGGGCTCTAAATGTAGACTAGGTGTGTCTTAGCTTTTATTTTTTAATAAAAGTACCTAATTTTAATTACGATGTTTTTGTGTAGAACAAAATATTTAATCTATTAAAAACAACCCCCTGTGATGTTCAGTGTTAATTAAAAGGTGCGTTGCTCTTTGCAAGAATTATTAAACAGTAAATGTCAAATTCAATTAAGGACTACAAATACTAAAGCTGTTACAAAAACCTAGATGAAATTTCTAACAAGTGTAATCAATCGCATTTAGTTTATGGCAAGCATTCTCTTTTATTATTGAATAAGACAGACATTTCTATTAAAGTAATAATAATATATAAGCCCTCACTGGTGATAACGTGTGTGCATTTTGATTCGTAATCGAGGATAGATGTATATGTCTGTGGGCCACAGCAACCACTTACCATCAGGTGGACTGTGCGTTCATTTGTCACCTTTATCCTATATTTTTAAAAAAAACGAAAAATTATTACTATTATTTCCGAAATTTAACTATTTCTAAGTGTCTAAACTCATTCCTGTTATTCGGGGTTACAAAGAAGTCTCAGACAAAAGTTCGCGAGTTATAAAAAATTGCCGACTATATTTGAATGCATTACTCCGAGGTGCCGACCGGTGCGCTGCGTAGACGTCATTCGGTTCACAACGATAGAACGTAATTGCATGTCAGTGAATAAGGTATTCAATGTAATAGGCTAGGTTATTTGATGAAAAGCGATTGCGAGCGGGCCGTGGCGGGCCGTGTTTGAGTAGTTGATGCCCGCGCCCGCCTATAATTTTCCACCGGTTATGTAAAATCAAAACTATATCGGGGGTAATTGCCCCGTCGCTGTTAAGACTAGGCCAATAATTTGGATTTGTTCTTAATGTTGTACAGAATTATTTTTTATTATTGTAGCCTATAAAAGTCCACAGCTGAACATAGGCCTTATCCAAAGATTTCTCCTTATTGGGATTGCTCTAAGACTGTGTGGTGGTGATAAGTGTATCCACTAGCCCATGTCGTGCCTTGGGTATCGTAAAGGCGATAGAGGGATCAGAAACAGGAGATGGGCAGCAGAATTTACCTGATAACAACTCAAAATTATAAAAAAAAACTGGGGTTGCGAACCCGAACGACCTACCAAGCGTGGCCACTATGGCAAAATACCACAAAAGAGGAAAAAATATAACGATACTTATAGTAACACTAATAAACCACACGTGCCGACAAGCACGGGTCGCCTTACATTCTGATAATTATTTTTTTGTAACGATTTTTATATTATTAACACATTGAATGAACCAAAATTTTACTGATTTTACCGAGTTAAACTTGACTAACTTTGTTTAATTTGAATTCCCGAAGTTCCACGTGCAGAGGTGTTTGACGCCCGATGTCATAAGTGGAATATTGATATTATTTACTAATTACTAGAGATCCACCCCGGCTTCGCACGGGTGATTTCTGGATCTCGACAACAGCGCCACCTACCGGGTCCAATTGAGCTTTTAAACCATCCAGGGACCGACTCAAATACACACAAAAAATCATCAAAATCGTTGGAGCCGTTTTTGAGTTTTAGCGAGACTAATAACAGCAATTAATTCTTATATATAAGAAGAAAAAGATATTTAATGGTTTACTATAGGAGAATGTCTTAAGGCATTAAGTTCGTTGCCTCATAAGGGGGGTATTTGCCATAGTTGCCACGCTTGGCAGGCATGTGGGCAACCGTATTATTTGAGTTGTTACTACGAAGTTGCTATTGCTAATAAAGAAACTCCAAAAGTCGTGGGTTCAAATCCGTCGACTACTGTCGTGAACCACTCTTAGTACGAGCATTTAAAGCTTAGTTCGAATGGTTAAAGGGAGGTATTAGTAATAGCAGAAAGTTTTGATACCCGATGATTATTAATGACTTTGCTAGCGTATAAAGTGCGATTGGGGAGGCCCAAAGGTCACGCAAAAGCCGCGGACACCCAATTGATCCTGTCGGAATTAGAAAAAAGAATCGGATTTAACCCGCAACAAAGTGCTTTTGGCTGCAAATTTCACTAGAACATATTTATTTTATTTTGTAGGAGAAGGGTGACATATGAGCACACAGACCATCTGGTGGTAAGTGGATGCTGTGGCTCATAGACATCTACATCTGTCTTCGTCTGTCTGTCTTGTGTCTTCGATTAAGAAAAAAATTCAGATGTTTTGTAAATCCTGAGTACTAAGATGGAATGCCTCGTTTCCAGTAGATTCTCTACACTCAACACACGAAAGACAGCAGCATTACGCTGGTATTCTGTGAGAGCGTGGTCCTTCTTTGACCGGGAAACAGTTCCGTTTGCTCGTTTTATGAATTAAGATTATTGTGTTGTTATTGTAAACGTATCATTTTAATTTCTTTGATAATACCATATTATCGAACTATTCGTTATGAGGTTATTACAATCACAAAATTATTAAGTAGTCGTTTAAGTTGTGGGTAATTATAAAAACAATATTGTATTAAAATATTATAGAGTCTTGTTCATTATTAAATAAATAACAATGTCTTTAAATGGACGACGGACAAACAACATTCCTATTAATTTCGTTTGAATATAAGGAAATATGAGCGCACATGGTGGTTTCCCACAAGGCGTGCGATTACGCCATTAAAGCGGGAACTATGTTTATAACGATTTCATTACAGTGCGCGTAATTTAACGTAATTGCGAAGGGACGCCGAGCAGAGTCAGGGTGCATTTGTCGCCTTTTAACCTGCTAGCTTAGTCGTAGTTTCATTGAAGTTTTTATAACAACTGCAATGTACATGCACGTAAAAGTAGGTACATTTAAGAAAAATGATGCTACCTCACCTTCATATATATATAAACACACACAAAAATTTCCCTTGATCAACATTTACGACCTAACAGAAACAATTATTTGTAGGCACTTAATCCGTGCGGGAACTGAACCTGTGCAAACGAAACACAGCCACTGCGTTACTGAGCCGTATTCTTGACAGCCGTCGTCGTCTCGGTTTTCAATTCTGTTCTTGTGCTGTAACAACAATGAGTCGGCTTCATCAGGAAAGGATTACGCCTTCACAGAAGAATGCCAGCGTAAAATAACGCCATACTACAATTAAGTCAACTAAGCGTTTCATATTAGATATCAGGAGTGATATCGCAATTGCATTTTGATTTTCAAAAGAGGATAGATGTAGATATATCCACAACATCCACTTACAATCTTAGATAGAGCTACGCTACAGCTATATTATGGTTGTAGCACGAATGGGTTAGCTCGACCGGGGAAGGACCACGCTCTCACAGAATATCAGCGTAAAATAGCAGCTTAATGCTGCTGTGTTTCGTATGGTGAGTGTAGAGAATTGTCGTATAGAAAACTCTTTTAAGTACTAGAAATGAGGCATTCTATCTTAGCCCTCATTTTGATTCTTAATCCAGGATAAATGTAGATGTCCATGGGCCACAGAATTGACTTACCATCAGGTGGACTGTGTGCTCGTTTGTCACCCTTATTCTATAAAAATAACAACTTAAACTGAAAAAAATTGGCAATATACTCATAGCGAGATTAACGTTGTCGAAGTATGTATTTTAGGAGCCGAACAAATTCAACATTATTCTCATCTACACAAAATGTCAAACAATCATTAAAGCGGTGGAGATGTCTAGGATAATGGGGACCAAACAAAGTGACGTTATTGTTCCAGCCTTTTGTTTTAGGAACCGGTCGGGAGGGCCCGCGGACGCGGCTGGATCGTTCGAATGCCATTGCGGGCTAACGGTCGCTGAAACGCGTCGGCTAGGCTGGTAACACGAAACTTTCAGCTGGCTCCAGTTTATTTGCGGCCGCGGCGTTCGCCATTAGGACGGTGAGCCAGCGAAATTTCTCACTAAAAGTAATTTGTGACGTCATCGGTCTACGGTAGTTGTAGGGATGGTATTTACAAATGCGAAACAAAACGTCGGTAATGACCGCGCTAGTTTCACTAAAAACTACGAGCAAATGGTTGTGCACATTTCCCCGAGGCTGAGTTTGAGCTGTTAGTGCAGAGGCTGTGAGAGCCGAACTCTTTTATTCCACGGCCTCTTCTCTTTAAATGCTTACTTACTTATTATACATCGTCCATTATGCTCATGTAATTTATATTTAATGGAAACATAAGTTATTTAAATTATGATCTTACATTTAAAAGTAAAAGATTTTAAATGTGTTTTACTTTTATACAATTTTATAATACCTTTAGCTATTTCCCGTTAAAAATTTGTTCATTTCTTGCTTAATTTCTGAAAATATTACTAAAATTACTATATACTATAATACATTACTATATATATATATATATATATATATATATAT